GCGTCAACACACAAGGGCTAATAAACCACAGCGTCAACACACAAGGACAAATAAACCACAGCGTCAAAACACAAGGATAAATAAACCACAGCGTCAACACAAAAGGTAATAAACCACAGCGTCAACACACAAGGATAAATAAACCACAGAGCCAACACAAAAGGACAAATAAACCACAGCGTCAACCCACAAGGACAAATAAATTACAGCGTCAACACATAAGGTCAAATAAACCACAGCGTCAACACACAAGGACAAAAAAATTACAGCGTCAACACACAAGGATAAATAAACCACAGAGCCAACACAAAAGGACAAATAAACCACAGCGTCAACCCACAAGGACAAATAAATTACAGCGTCAACACATAAGGTCAAATAAACCACAGCGTCAACACACAAGGGCAAATAAACCACAGCGTCAACACACAAGGATAAATAAATTACAGCGTCAACACACAAGGTCAAATAAACCTCAGCGTCAACACACAAGGTCAAATAAACCACAGCGGCAACACACAAGGCCAAATAAACCACAGCGTCAACACACAAGGTCATATAAACCCCAGCGTCAACACACAAGGTCAAATAAACCACAGCGTCAACACACAAGGTAATAAACAACAGCGTCAACACACAAGGACAAATAAACCCCAGCGTCAACACACAAGGATAAATAAACCACAGCGTCAACAACCCAAGGTCTAATAACCCACAGCGTCAACACACAAGGTCAAATAAACCACAGCGTCATCACACAAGGATAAATAAACCACAGCGTCAACAAACCAAGGTCTAATAAACCACAGCGTCAACACACAAGGCCAAATACACCACAGCGTCAACACACAAGGTCAAATAAACCACAGCGTCAACACACAAGGACAAATAAACCATACCGTCAACACAAAAGGCCAAATAAACCACAGCGTCAACACACAAGGACAAAAAAATTACAGCGTCAACACACAAGGATAAATAAACCACAGAGCCAACACAAAAGGACAAATAAACCACAGCGTCAACCCACAAGGACAAATAAATTACAGCGTCAACACTCAAGGATAAATAAACCACAGCGTCAACACACAAGGACAAATAAACCACAGCGTCAACACACAAGGACAAATAAATTACAGCGTCAACACACAAGGTCAAATAAACCACAGCGTCAACACACAAGGTCAAATAAACCACAGGAGGAAAAACAACAGAAAGTCACATCCTAATCCTTTATATTAAGTACTCCAGAAGTTAAGGGTTGGTATTCACCAGACTTAATGTGACGATGATCATCATGTCGCCTGTCAGATACGGGCAGATGTTTCATTTCGCTCATTTTTAGCTGCTGAAGAAAACGAAAAGGGAATAAGTTAACCTATGGCTAACAATTCTAGCGGGTTATTTATTTATTTTTCATACAAATTGTCATCATCGCCTTTCTCAGAGTTTCTAAATTACGTATTCCGGAGGCTCTGTTTTATAAATGTAAATTCATTAAATCTTTAGGGGAATCCTATAGATTTTAACGTCGTTTCAATCGTATTTAATCATGTTCTGATACATTTCTATGTCCGTGCAGTAAATCTCTCGTATTCTCAAGTTGAATCATGAGAAGAGGTCCATCACAATATTTTTTCAATATATTTGAATAAACAATATTTGCTGTTGTTCTATTCGGGAATTCAAATAATCGCAAATAATTAAACTGAGATCTATTATAATGAAAATGTATATTTGGAAAATTAATGAATTTCCAAAGAGTGCAGAGTCTTGTGATCTTAAAAACTGACAAAGTATTTTTTTCCGTTTTATTGAACTGGTGCATGGAGGGAGGAAGCTGACGGGTATAAAGGGAGACTATGAAGACATGGAGGGAGGAAGCTGACGAGGTATAAAGGGAGATTATGAAGACATGGAGGGAGGAAGCTGACGGGTATAAAGGGAGACTATGAAGACATGGAGGGAGGAAGCTGACGGGGTATAAAGGGAGATTATGAAGACATGGAGGGAGGAAGCTGACGGGGTATAAAGGGAGACTATGAAGACATGGAGGGAGGAAGCTGACGGGGTATAAAGGGAGACTATGAAGACATGGAGGGAGGAAGCTGACGGGGTATAAAGGGAGACTATGAAGACATGGAGGGAGGAAGCTGACGGGGTATAAAGGGAGACTATGAAGACATGGAGGGAGGAAGCTGACGGGGTATAAAGGGAGACTATGAAGACATGGAGGGAGGAAGCTGACGGGGTATAAAGGGAGACTATGAAGACATGGAGGGAGGAAGCTGACGGGGTATAAAGGGAGACTATGAAGACATGGAGGGAGGAAGCTGACGGGGTATAAAGGGAGACTATGAAGACATGGAGGGAGGAAGCTGACGGGGTATAAAGGGAGACTATGAAGACATGGAGGGAGGAAGCTGACGGGGTATAAAGGGAGACTATGAAGACATGGAGGGAGGAAGCTGACGGGGTATAAAGGGAGACTATGAAGACATGGAGGGAGGAAGCTGACGGGGTATAAAGGGAGACTATGAAGACATGGAGGGAGGAAGCTGACGGGGTATAAAGGGAGACTATGAAGACATGGAGGGAGGAAGCTGACGGGGTATAAAGGGAGACTATGAAGACATGGAGGGAGGAAGCTGACGGGGTATAAAGGGAGACTATGAAGACATGGAGGGAGGAAGCTGACGGGGTATAAAGGGAGACTATGAAGACATGGAGGGAGGAAGCTGACGGGGTATAAAGGGAGACTATGAAGACATGGAGGGAGGAAGCTGACGGGGTATAAAGGGAGACTATGAAGACATGGAGGGAGGAAGCTGACGGGGTATAAAGGGAGACTATGAAGACATGGAGGGAGGAAGCTGACGGGGTATAAAGGGAGACTATGAAGACATGGAGGGAGGAAGCTGACGGGGTATAAAGGGAGACTATGAAGACATGGAGGGAGGAAGCTGACGGGGTATAAAGGGAGACTATGAAGACATGGAGGGAGGAAGCTGACGGGGTATAAAGGGAGACTATGAAGACATGGAGGGAGGAAGCTGACGGGGTATAAAGGGAGACTATGAAGACATGGAGGGAGGAAGCTGACGGGGTATAAAGGGAGACTATGAAGACATGGAGGGAGGAAGCTGACGGGGTATAAAGGGAGACTATGAAGACATGGAGGGAGGAAGCTGACGGGGTATAAAGGGAGACTATGAAGACATGGAGGGAGGAAGCTGACGGGGTATAAAGGGAGACTATGAAGACATGGAGGGAGGAAGCTGACGGGGTATAAAGGGAGACTATGAAGACATGGAGGGAGGAAGCTGACGGGGTATAAAGGGAGACTATGAAGACATGGAGGGAGGAAGCTGACGGGGTATAAAGGGAGACTATGAAGACATGGATGGAGGAAGCTGACGCGGTATAAAGGGAGACTGTGAAGACATGGAGGGAGGAAGCTTACGAGGTATAAAGGGAGACTGTGAAGACATGGAGGGAGGAAGCTGGCGGGGTATAAAGGGAGACTATGAAGACATGGAGGGAGGAAGCTGACGGGGTATAAAGGGAGACTATGAAGACATGGAGGGAGGAAGCTGACGGGGTATAAAGGGAGACTATGAAGACATGGAGGGAGGAAGCTGTCGAGGTATAAAGGGAGACTATGAAGAGGCTGGTGTCTTTTCCTCATTTTGTACGTTGCCCATTGCAAGTGCTTATACATATGGGTATATACATACGGGATGTGTATAACATAACGTTGTCTATGAAGGAGATACATTCAAATATTATTTTCTGAAAGACATGTCATCCAATCTTACAGAATCGATAAGAATACATGTTTTCGTTACGTAAAGTTTGTTTGAAGATCAACGTACAAATGTAAGACACACGTGTGTTTGCATCTATCATATTAGGTATAGCATACCAAAATGTAATTACACTGTACTCTACAGCTGTTTGGTCTAAACTACTTTGGAAAAAGAAGAGGAGGTGAGTTGAATCTAATAATAATATGCATTGAAAAAAATCGGCGAAGTACAAGTTAATTTTAAATCAATAATGAGTAAATGTAATTTATTACGCGTTCAACAACTAAAAGTTGACAATTGTTGCTATCAAGGCTACTGTTAGGTTTAGTTATATTTTGTTTAACATCTTTAACCAGCTAATGCCATTTAAGGATGTGCCATCATATGTGTAATATATGGGTGCTTGTGTGTATGTGTACTGGAGGTAGGGTGTATTGGTGTACTTGGCTCCTTGCGATAGCGCGGATCTGATGCCGGCTTTAGAGTGCTACCTCACTGAATTTCTTTGCTGAAGGCACCCAGTATAGTATTGCTACTGGTCACATTATACTGAGAACATGTGGACCAGTCGTTACGCTTACCCTTAAAGGAAATAACAACTACCAGCTTTAGAGTCTACCCAAACCGCAAAAAAATGAACATAATAAAGGGATATCGAGTATTTCTTATTGATATACGGACCAGTCTCTATTGTAGAACACGATGAACCCTTGCATCACCTTAACCAGACAGTTTATGATAATGTTGCCAATGGTCGGTTATCTGATTAAGATACCCAAACACCTGTTGCAATTATACATTCGGTTACATTTCTACTTGAGTATGTACATGGATTTTGCGCAATATATAATCAAAAGAACCCACACAGTCTGTTTTTGAATTCCAAAACTTCCAAATCATGACATATCATCAGATAAAAAAACTTCATTAAAAATTATCCTTTAAAACACGATCTTGATAAATGCACCACGATTCAAAACGTCAAATGACCCACTGAGTCTAGAACAGGCTTGGTGCGATCGTTAATTGTTTAGCAGGCCTTGTCTACATCGGACAGGTAATGGTAAGCCATATACCCGCATTGTTCTGTGGATGGCAATGTTCTTGCGCGCTCGAGCGCGATTCTTGGTTAATTATTAACAAAAGGATCGCCGCTGGCTTTGTGTGCCTCCCGTTCAGAGGCAGCGGAAGGAGTGCTGTTGGAGGTCACAGACGGGCAGTGATTCACGTCTTGTATTTAATATCTCTTTAATATGAAGTGTCCGTGTAATTCATTAGTGACTTTTGATCAGTTTGGACAAATACAGGCACATTTGATATGGCACTGCCTTGTTGGAGGTAGAAACCACGTCCAGAAATAGTTACAAGGAGGGAGAATAACCCTAGCAACAACGACAGGTAAGTAAAACCATTGAAATTCGGTTGAAAATATGCATCACTGTCATTTTGTTTCGTTATTAAACGGCATTAGCATCTGATCTGCTTCACACGTCGTTTGTCTGACATGTATCGATATTAACGTTTGCTCAAAACAAACACGGTGATGTTGATATGCAATAACATTGTCCGTGATTAATCTATCATTTAAAATATGTAAACAATTAACAATTGGGGAAAAAGACAAGATGATAATATCAATATTTTTTTATTGGTGAAAATGATAATGACATTTAATGACGTAATATAATATAGTAGCGCGAACGTTTCATAACCCTCAACGCTATATATCGTATTGGTTGTAAAATATATCCCAATTCGACCCCCATTACATATTGTAGTTATGTATACAAGTATACATGCATATTACGACCGAATACAATAACTTAAACAACTTAAGTACATTTCATCTCCGACATCTTCTGTAGTGTAAACAACAAAACACGACAAATCGTAACCCAGTTGTCTGTAGAGCACACAGGAGAATACCCTATATAACATGAATTAGAGTAGTGTTTAGGATTCAGCGATGTCCTGAATTCCCTTTGTTATATAGAATATTTTGGATTAAGATGATTATTTTTGAAATATGGTCATTTTGAATCCCGGGTTGTACATGCTATCTGATCTTTATTATGTTCAATATTTTTAAAAGTACATATCAGTTTATGTCTCAGTGAATCATAAAACCGTATACAACAAACCAGATGGTTATTTCTACATCACTTTAACTACATCGAAACCCGAAAGACATTTTTTTCCTAATGTTTACTTCTTAACGACATTATAGGCATATTTTATGTATTTTTAGATGATGATTGTGCTGTTTAGACAAAATGATTACATATGAGCTGAATTCTCAATTAAGAAAACGTACTTTTACAAATCTCATTTTTCTTCCATCTTAAACGTCTCACTATCGTAGCATTGTCTGTGCGGTTATAGTAGGATATTTAAAAACGGAGAAAACAGGGACATTTATCTTTAGAATAGTTTTGTATGCAAGTCAGAGTTCCATTTTCATCAAAATAAAATCCAAACAATAATATAAATTTAATTTTAAATGGTAACTAATCGGGTTTCCTTAACCGCAACTCCCAGAGGTAGTTTTTAATTTATCACAAATGTTCATATCTGTCACTTGTTCAAATTATCTTTTTTATGTTCAAATATTTTACTTCCTCAGCAAGTAATTACGGAGGATGCCAGGGTTGAGGAGCCCTGGGATCATCCCCCTTACAATGTATTGTCCTTTCACAGGAGGGCTTTCTTTCAACATTCGTCTTTCTTTCACTTTCTTTTCTTGTTGAAATTATCGCCATTTCTGTGTCATGAGAAATGACAATGTAATACTTAGTTTAGTGAGTGAAATATAGTAATTAACAATTTACTCATTAGTTCAAAGAGTTACAATGTAACGGTAAAAGAAATATTAAATGTACATTATATTGATTATTTGAGTAACACTTTGGCAGTGAATGAAAACATCATTTAAAACCACATACATATATACTGCATAGCGAACAGAATATCAATAGATGATACAAATGAAATATGTCACAATAATGTAATTATAAACAAAGTAATACTTTAATTCAGTGACTGAAATATAATTAAGAACAGTGGTGTACGTAGCACGGTGAAAATATTTAGTGCATTATACATGTAAATATAAACAAAGTATCACTTAGTGCAGACATTGTCATACAGATTAAGTACTACACAGTAAAGAGAATGATAATGGAACTATACATATTTTTTTGGTGTATTAATAAAATAATAAATAATATTTAGTTGAGAAATATATTTTTAAACAATATAATGTATTTGCCCCAATACTGAAAGTAACACTAGAATTATAAATAGTAATATTTAGTGCATTACTATATATTGATAAACAAAACAAAGCATCACTTAGTGCACAAATGACAATAGAACTAAACAGGTAATATTTAGTACATTCATGAAATGATAAGCAAACAATATTTAGTTCAAACTAAACTGAATGATAAATTATAATAAACAAAGGTAATCCTAGGTTAATTAAAATTTTAACCACGAACACTGTATAAAACGTATAACTTAGTGCAGAGATTCACAATATAATGATTTATGTCAGTGCATGTTCAGCTTGAGCAACTTTCAAAATTGTTAAGGATATACGCTATTATTTGAAAAGGCAGTTTCTTTCCAGTTGATTTCTATATCAAATAAGAAATTTGCCAAAAAATATATGAAAGTTAATTTTCATCAGGCTAATATATTGATGATATAGTTGAAACATGAACCTAACTTATACATAGGTTATAGCGCCTATACAATTTGGTAATTAGACACAGTCAGCCAAAAATTAACTACCCTGCATCATACAGCTGTTTCGTCCTTCAAGAACTCTTCAGTTATGCTAGAGCCCTAACAGTTGGACATCGAAATTGGCTTAAACTATTGTCCGCGCACGAGTGAATATATTCGTCTGTGCAATAAATGAGTGCTTTCTGATTCGTTAGTGTGGTCTTGCTTTTATCACATACCTTCCGTATTTGGTAGAGATCGATACAAAGATTTTATAAACTTTGACATATTTTGCAAAAACCCGGAACTTTTCAGTTCGCCATGTCAAGGGGATTCCCATGAAAAGTAGTTCCGGCTAGTAGGTACATTCCGTGTTGCACATGTGCAATACTGAACGTTGTAATTCATGGTCTGACAATTGCTTGTATTACTATAACAAGATTCAACAGGTATGTGATAAAAGGACGTGAGTGTAACTGCTTAATTACATGAAATTCAAATTAGGGGAGAACTGGTTGATTTCAAATTAATAGATGAGTTAAGTGTGTGTTCTACGAACCGTGCACATACTTAGACAGAGATAAACAAAATGCTTGCATCAACGCATAATGTGACATCAATCCTTCAAAATAGTTACACCATTGTCTCGTTATGAAATAAAGTATGTTTCTGCTTAAAGTATTCAATCCTGTCAATCTATCGATTTCTGTGGTTGTTTGTATATTTATTGTTGAACATCATCAGGTATGTTTCAATTAGTTCCACTGTTTGTCTATCTATCAACGAACTTAATGTTCCATAATGCATTTTCCGCTTGCAAACAAACGAACAGCGTTATATACTATGCAAAGATCGATACATGCTACTTCCACAAAGAAAAATAACAATTGAAAATTCGCTTCATTTTTCAGGCGTCTGATAGTTATGATCCCGATTTCAATGGCGGATTTGGGGCTGATACCAGTGTAACTTACCGTGTATACAGTAAACCATTGCAGACAACATGCATCCCAAGCCGGTAAAGTCCAAGGTGGTGGCCTCCCGACTTCTGGCCAAGAAGTCAAACGCCATGAAGGAGATCGAAGAGTGGGTCATGAAAGACGTTTCACTTAACGACGCTGCTTCAAGGATCGGTAAACTACCAGAAAACGTCACTGAAGAGCGAATGTTTAAATCTAGACTTTTTGATATTGGAAAGGAAAGGTACAAATACTTGAGTAAGAATGCTTACGAAATGAGGATGTTTTCAGACAAATACAAGAAAAAGATGGCACTAGCGCGTCAACAGCTACAGTCACATCATAGAAGTCTGTCAGCGAATGACGTAGCACGTCCAGCCAAATCAGAAATCGACAAAGCCAGACTCAGTCTGGATCCCCGGATGTTACGCCGGACACAGGACACAAGTCACGACATTGAGGACGGGACAACGCCCACGTTGACAAGGTCCAAAACAGTATCGTTCGTACCAACATCTTTACACAAACAACATTCAGACCTTACACAGCCCCGGACCAGTACACCAGCACGCGCCAACAGTCAACAGGCCTTATTTAAGGCACTTAGAGAGAAATCTCAGTTTAATTCAAGGCCACTCTCACGTGGGGCGTCCTTTAATCAAACGCCACGATCGGACGATGATTCTTCCAGTAAATCGTGGGTTAAACGGAACAAATTTTCAAAATATGGCGGCAACGTTCCTGGAGTGACTGCCGACCCCCGGTACGCTCAGTTGGAGGGATCCCTGTCGCCTTTCTATCAGGGGAAGCCTGGCTCACCAGAATCCACTCCTGACGTCAAACAAATCGTCAACAGTATCGGATCGCTGCATAAACCATCGAGGAACATTAAAGAAGTTAGACCCAAACTCACGCTGAAGTTACAGGCATTCATGAAAGAACGGGGAATAGTGTTTTAGTGTATACTGTGGTCTGACGTTATCCCTAACTAAACCCGGGATGAATTGTTAGTAATGTGCTAAGGCTAGTGGTATATCGTTCCCTTATTGTACTTCATGAAGCACCACTTGGGTATTCACTATCGCCTGGCGTTAAGGATCCTTCTACCAGGACCCTGCAAGGAAACAATAGAGAATGTACTATATACGGTAACCTCCCCTTATTTTCATTTCAGCTTTAACTCTAGCCCGACGTAAACCGATACTTCTGTTGACCATATAGCTCAGTAGAACATCGTTACAATATAATGATCAGAATCCGGGACTCGAACCCTTGTCCGGATCCAGTGTGTGTTTAACACTCTAAACACAGTTATTTGATCTTTTTAAGTTTAAAGAGAAATGATTCATCAAAGCTGTAGCCATCCCGAAAAAGTTCGAAGCACGAGTTCAGTTTTTCGGTACAAGGATCCTTAACATTTTTTTATAGTGTTAAAGTGCTATTCTGGACTAGGAACGAACGTGGATTATATTCATTTGTCATGCCCAAATATAGTTATCGTGACAAATTTCCGGGTGATTGGAATAGTTTATTTAATTAACTATAAACGTGATTTTTTCTAGACTCTGCTTACACAGTAGGGAGTCATGGAATGGACAACTGTGCGGACGGTGGGACGTACGGAAATACTTTGGATTTAGCAGTTACCTCCCTTGGTATTACTAGAGAGATTGAATGTGCAACACTATCCTACAGATACCATAGTTGTGATTAAATTATCATTCCGGATTTGTACATATGTTGATCGCCATGGATACTGTAGGCAAGTTGAGTCCGTTGATGAAGCGAAAATAAGAACTATAAATAGAATAAAATATGCTTTATATCGAATTCTTCATTATTAAAACTATTGTTTACAATTTGTTTCTGACTATTTTTTTTAAACATTTAGGTTTTTATCACAGATTTACTCAAAGTTTACTTGTATACATTGGCGTGTACACATTTTACCAACACTCAGCTACGAAACACTATCTGACTTCCCCTAACTCACAGTCTTTATCAGAATTACTCAACAGTAAAACCTCCATGTAATGCCCTTTGTTTGGTTTGCCACCTCGCACACCTACTTAAATAACATTTATAATTTGAGTTCCCTTTTTATTTTATTTTTTAAATCATTCTCATTTTCGCTATTTTCATTTTCATTATTCAGCATTTTCGTAACAATTCTTTTGTTCGATATCATTTTTTGTTTCATAATTATTATGTTAGTTAAGAAATTCAGTAGAATAGTCAGTAGAATTAAGGATTTAAGTAGGATAGTCAGTAGAGTTAAGGATTTAAATAGGATAGTCAGTAGAATTAAGGATTTAAGTAGGATAGTCAGTAGAGTTAACGATTAAAATAGGATAGTCAGTAGAGTTAAGGATTAAATTGGGATAGTCAGTAGAATTAAGGATTTAATTAGGATAGTCAGCAGAATTAAGGATTTAAGTAGGATAGCCAGTAGAATTAAGGATTTAAATAGGATAGTCAGTAGAGTTAAGGATTAAATTGGGATAGTCAGTAGAATTAAGGATTTAATTAGGATAGTCAGCAGAATTAAGGATTTAAGTAGGATAGCCAGTAGAATTAAGGATTTAATTAGGATAGTCAGTAGAATTAAGGATTTAAGTAGGACGGGCAGTAGAATTATGGATTTAATTACGATAGTCAGTAGAATTAAGGATTTCAGCAGGATAGTCATTAGAATTAAGGATTAAGTAGGATAGTTAGTAGAGTTAAATATTTAAGTAGGATAGGCACTAGAATTAAGGATTTAGGTAGGATAGTCAGTAGAATTGAGGATTTAAGTAGGATCGTTGGTATAGTTAAGGATTTAAGTAGGATAGTCAGCAGAGTTAAGGATTTAAATAGGATAGTTAGTAGAAATAAAGATTTAAGTAGGATAGTCAGTAGTAGAATTAAGGATTTAATTAGAATAGTCAGTAGAATTAAGGATTTAATTAGGATAGTCAGTAGAATTAAGGATTTAAGTAGGATAGTCAGTAGAATTAAGGATTAAATTAGGATAGTCAGTAGAATTAAGGATTTAAGCAGGATAGTCAGTAGAATTAAGGATTTAAGTAGGACGGGCAGTAGAATTATGGATTTAATTACGATAGTCAGTAGAATTAAGGATTTAAGCAGGATAGTCAGTAGAATTAAGGATTTAAGTAGGACGGGCAGTAGAATTATGGATTTAATTACGATAGTCAGTAGAATTAAGGATTT